TCACCCAAAACCCACAAAATACACATCTACCCACCTCTGCATGGTACCTTCTCGAAAATTGACCACATGGTAGGGCACAAACCAGCGTTTACAGATTCAGAGGAAGAGACATTATATCAGACACCTTCCCTGAACATGGTGGAATTAAGCTTGATATCAATTTCTAAAAAAGTACACAAAATAAGGAAGTGAAATAAGCTACTCTTGAATATCATCATGATTATCAAATATATTAAGACTGAGATCAAAAGATTCATAGAAATATAAAAATGGATGAGTTTCCATAATCTATGGGAGACAGTGAAAGCAATCATAGAAGGGGGAGTTCAAAGCAATTAGAATGCATTACAAATAATGGAAAGATGGCAAATAGGCAACTTCACATCATGACTCAGGGAGTAGAAAAATGATAAAAAGATCCCCCCCCCAAAAAAAATGCCAGGAGAAAAGAAATAATAAAGATTTGAGCAGGAAAAAAGTGACATAGAAAATAAACATACTATACAGAAATGAAAGCAAAAGCTGGTTCTTTGAAAAGATAAAAAGGATTGACACACTGTTAGCTAGATCGATTAAGAAAGAGAAAGGAACCATTTGGAGGAGGGATAGGAAGACACCATTGTTGAGACAGGGAGGTGGTGGTGTTATATTTTGATAAACTCGACCAGGGAGAAATGTTCATATATTGAAATGATCACCTTGTAAGCTGAATAATGTGATTGAATGTATTAAAAAATGTAAATAAAAATAATTTAAAAAGAAAGAAAGGAACCAGGTAACTCAAGTTTGCAATGAAATGAGCACTATTACAACAGATATAACAGGAATACAAAACATCATTAGAGGATTATTTGAGTGCCTATACACCAACAACAATGAAAGCTGGATGAAATGAACAAATTCCTGGACACATGTTATCTCCCAAGATGGACTCAGGAGGACTTGGTACTAAGCTGAATAGACCCATAACAAGCACTGAGATTGAATCATCAATAGATAACCTCTCAGCAAAGAAGAAACTAGGTCCTTTTGATTTTACTTCCAAATACTACAAAACTTTTAAAGAAGTAGCAACTCCCATTACTCTCAAATAATTTCTAAATATTAGAAAGGAAGGAATCCTGCCAAATTCATTTTACAAAGCCTAAGTCACTCTCATTCCAAATACTGAAAATGATACGATACAAAAGGAATACTACAGACCAAAATCCCTGATGGATACAGATGCCAAAATTTGAAATGAGGTATTATCACATTGTATACAAAAACATATAAGAGAGATTATTCAACACGACCAGGTAGGCTTTTTTATTCCAGGGATGCAAATGTGGTTCAACATACACACACAAAAAATGTAATACAACATATTAACAAAGAAAGATAAAAAATGTGTGATTATTTCAATCAATACAATATTGGACAAAGTATAAAATCCCTTCTTGTTTAAGACTCTGAGCAAAATTGGCATAGTAGGATCATTTCTCAGCATAGTAAAAGTTACCCATGGAAAACCTATAGCTAACATTATATAGGATGAGGAAAGGCTGAAAGTTTTTCCATTACAAGAAAAGTTTCCATATATTCTCTGCTTTTCAATATAGTGCTGGAAATCCTAGCTAATAAAATAAGACAATAGAATGAAATAAAAGGCATTCCAACAGGGAGAAAAGTGTTGTAATGATCTCTGCACATGACATGATTGTATACATAGAGATCCAAAGGTATTCAAAAAACAAACTTCTCAGAGTAATAAATGAATACATTAAGTGGCAAGATACAAAATCAGCTTACAAAAATCTATACCATTCTATATATAACCAACAAGCAGAGGTAAAGTTGAAGAAAGTAATATCATTTCCCATAGCCACAAAAATCATAAGATACCAAGAAAGTCAAAGATTTCTACTAGGAAAACTATGAAAACTTTAAAAAATAAATTTAAAATGACTCAGTAAACTGGAAGAACACACCAATCCTGTATTGGAAGAATTAAGATAATCAAAATGGCAGTTCTCCCCAAAGTTATGTTTTAATGTAATCCTTAAAATTTTATAATCGGCATTCTTCACAGATTTAGAAAAGGTAATAGAATTTGTCTAAAATCATAAGAGATTCAGTAAGCCAAAGTAATCCTATACAGGAAGAAAGGAGTGGGATCCCTTGACTCAAAAATTTATTACAAAACTGTGATAATCAAAACAACATGGTTTTGGCACAAAATACAGGTAGACACATGGAACAGAATAGAGACTCTGGAAATAAACTTCAAAATATACAGTTAACTGGTTTGTTTTTGTTTTTGTTTTTTTGAGAAGTTTTTGCTATAGAGCATGTGCATTCACCAGAAACACAGAGACAGAGAGATAGAAAGCAAGAAATCATGCTCCCCACCCCAGGGCGGATGGCCACACTGAAATTCCTTCTCCATTCTCCTCTCGGGATCGTGGGCATGCATGCACACGTGCCTAGTGGGAGTATAAAACATCCATCCGGGACTCGAAATGCAGTTGCCTACATGGCAGTTCAGCAACATAGCCATTACACTCACTAACTGCTTGTCCCATCAGTCAACTGATTTTGACAAAGGGTAATAGTCAATCCAATGGGGAAAGGAAATCCTCTTAGAGAAACTGCAAAAAGATTCACCTGAATCTCTACCTCTCGCCAGTAATAAAAATCAAACAGGTGAACCTAAAACCTCAAATTATAAAACTACTGGTAGGAAACACTGAGGAAACTCTGGGAGACATTCAGGCAGGAAAAGACTCCTTAAATAATACCCAAAAGCACAGGCAATAAAATCCCAAAAATTAACAAGTGGGATTGCATCATACAAAAATTTTTGCATAGCATAGAACACAGTGATTAGTGTGAATACACAACCCTCAGGATGGGAGAATATTATGCCCCAAATAATGGACAAATAATAAAAGGGAACTCATACAATTTACCCAGAAAAAAAAATTAATCCAATGAAAAGATGGGAAAAAGAGCTAAATAGATAGTCCTCTAGGGAAGACTAAAAAAGAATATGAAATAATGCTCAATATTCCTCATCATAAGGGAGATGCAGATTGAAATTACAATGAGATACCATCTAACCCCAGTCAGACTAGTGAAGATTAAAAAAGTAATAATAATTAGTGGCCAGAAAAACTGGTGAACAGGAAACCCTCTTTAACATTGTTGGTGGGAATGTAAATTTGTCCAGTCACTGTGGAAAACAGTATTAAGATTCCTCAAAGACCTACAAATAGAAGTACCATGTGATCTAGAAGTTCCACTGAGTGGTATCTAGCCAAAGGTTAATAAATGCTATGTTGGAAAAGTGCTTGTATATCTATGTTTATTGAGGCATTATTGTGATTGTTAAAATATGGAACTAACCCAAATATCATGAACAGATGCATGAATTGTAAAAGTATGGTACATATACTCCATGAAAAGCTATTAAGCCTGAGAAAAGTGAAGATTCTTACATTTGCTATAATGGATGGATATGGAAGATTTATTGCTGAGTGAAAGGAATCTGGCTATAAAAGAGAGACATTATATGTCTCCACTTAACATATACTGTCTGCACTCTATGATAGAAACTGAAAGATTGGAAAGCATAAAAGCAGTTATGAAAATAGTTATGGACTCAAGACAGTGTGGAAAGGGGGTGGGAGATGGCAAGTGTGTTGGGAACGTAACTAGGGATAAAAGTTGAGACATAGTACAGTTGTGGGACAGAGATGTTTTATTATCTGTTGATGACATGTATAGTACATATTTTAACGGTAGTAGATTGAGATGTATTTCATGTTGGGTATATTCTCTACACAAGCAAAATAATGTGTAGCAATTGAACGTATAAAAATAATCATTATAATTTTAAAAAGTGTAAAAAAGTAATTTATCTTGACCTTGGGTCAGTTATTGTGTCCCAGTCTGTGCAATGACAGTGATAATATATACCACTTGCATAAAGTATTATGCCCAGAGAGCTTAGACTACATGGCACACATGCACCCAATTATGCCATTTGTTGAAAGCAAATGCCCAAAACAAGCAGGTGTGCATGAGTTTAATCCCCCTGAATGTCTCTTACCAGACCTCTACATGATGCTGTTGAGAATGATCACTTGGAAATTGTCCGTCTGCTCCTCTCCTGTGGTGCTGACCCAACTTTGGCTACATATTCAGGTCGAACCATCTTCAAAATGACCCAAAGTGAACTTATGGCAAAGTTTCTGTCAGGTAGGTTACTTCATAGAAAAGAAATGATGTAATTCAAGAAATATTCTCTACTCAAAAATCATATGTTAACTAAAATACTGATATTTATATTTTATTCCATAGAAGTGAAAAAGCAGCAATGTGACCTTTTATATGGCCACTGAAAATATTATTGTATAATTTATTATTCTAGTTAATCTTCTTAATATTTTAGTAATTGATCAATAGCCATTGATTCTACATTAACTTTGATCTATCTCTTTTAGTACTTTATTAGCATAGAAATACATATATACTGGGGAATACTACTCAGTCATAAAAAAGACACCCTAGCATTTGACAGAAATGGATAAATATGGAAGAATTACTGTTAAGTAAAACAAGCCAGACTATGAAACAGAGGCATTGTATGTCATTACTCAATATATAAAATTTTATGGCAGAAACTGAAAGATAGAAAGGTATAAAAGCATGGAGAGAAATGATAATACTATAGACAGTACATGAGGAGGGTGGGAAATGGGGAAAGTACTCAAGGGAAGAAGAAAAATTTACCCAACAGGATTCCTATTAATACAGATATTGAAACATTACTTTGATACTGTATCTTTTTTTTTTTTTGAGAGGTTTTTCACTATAGGGTGTGTGCGCTCGCCAGACAGACAGAGAGAGACAGAGAGACAGAAAGCGAGAAATCACCCCCCCAGAGGGGATGGCCACGCCGCATTCCCTTCTCCTCCATTCTCCTCTTGGGATCTTGGGCACGCACGCACACGCGCCCGGCGTGAGTTTTAAGCCACCGGGTCCGGGATGCGAACCGCGGTCGACTACGTGGGAGTCCAGCGACATAGCCATTACGCTAACTGCTGGTTCCCGAGACTGTATCTTTACTTTTAGAGATATATATTCAGAAGTGAAACTTTTGGGTCATATGACACCATTTCATACATCAATACACAAGGATTTTAATTTATTCATGTCCTTGCCAAAATATTAAATTTTTCCGGGTTGTTTTCCTTTAATATTAGTACTTGTTTGGGGTGATAATATCTCATCATAGTTTCAATAATGCATTTTTCTAATGATTAATGATGTTGAGCATCTTTCATGTGCTATTCACTATCTTTTTGGAGTGATGTCTATTCAGATACTTTGTCCAGCTTTGGATTGATTTGTTACTTTGTTGAACATTAGGAGTACTTTTATATATTCTGGATATTAATGAAATATCAAATAGATTTTTTGCAAATATTTTCTTTTTCTTTTTTCCATTATTTAAAAAATAATATATATTTTTTTACATTCAATTACATATGTCACTTAGCTTGTAAAGTGAATGTTCCAAGAAGAATACATTTCTCATCAGTCCAGTTGGGGATAATATATGCCCAAGTTCCCGAGAGGAGAAGTGATTGCAGGGTGGCCATCCCGCCCGGGGGGTGATTTCTCGCTTTCTGATTTTCTCTCTCTCTCTTTGTTTCTGACAAGCACATGCTCCCTATAGCTAGAACCTCCCCTCAAAAAAATTTCCCATTCTTAGGGCTGTCAATTTATACTAAATACTGTTAATTTTGCCATGCAGAAACTTCTTAGTCTGATATAATTCTGGTTTTCTATTTTTGGGATTATTGCCTGTGCTTTGGGATATTCTTTAGAAAGCCTTTGTCTAACCCAATGTCTCCCAGAGTCTCCCCAGTGTTTTCCATCAGTAGTTTTATAGTTTGAGTTTTTAGGTTTAGATCTTTAATCCACTTTGAGTTGATTTTTGTCAGTGGTGAGAGGTAGGAGTTTATATTCATCTTACTGCAAAGAAACAACCGTGTTTTCCAGCACCATTTGCTAAAGAAATTTGTCAAAAATCAGTTGGATATATGTTTCAGAGTTTATTTCTGTAGTCTCTATTCTGTTCCATAGGTCCACATGGCCATTTCTGTTCCAATACCATGCTGGATTTTTTTCTTATTTTTTTTTTTTTGGAGAGGTTTTTGCTATAGGGCGAATGCTCTCACCAGACAGACAGACAGAGAGAGAAAAAGTGAGAAATCATCCCCCAGGGAGGGTGGCCACACTGTAATCCCTTTTCCTCCATTCTCCTCTCAAGATCTTGGGCACACACACACATGTGCTTACGCAGCCGGGTCCAGTACACAAACCACATTCAACTGCATGGGTCTTCAGCGACATAGCCATTATCCCAAATGCTGGTCCCAATACCATGCTGTTTTGATTATCACAGCTTATAGGATACTTTCAGGTCAAGGAGTGAGATACGACCCATTGCACTCTTCTTGTGCAGGATTGATTTGGCAATACTAAGTATTTTATGATTCCAGACAAATTGTATAATTGTGTTTTCTAGATCTGTGAAGAATGTCTCTGGTACTTTAATTGGAATAATGTTAAATCATAGATTAATTTGGGTAGAATTTCCATTTTGATTATATTAATTCTTCCAATCCAAGAACATAGGATTTCCTTTCACTCTTTTGTGTCATTTTCAATTTCTTTTTTTAACTTCTCATTATTTTCTTTGTGAAGGTCTTTAATTTCTTTGGTTAGATTTAGTCCTGGGTATCTTACACTGTTTGTCACTATGGTCAACGGAATTACTTTCTTCAGTTCTATCTAAGTCTGCCTGCCCCTCATTGTAGAAACCTGTAGACTTTTGTATGTTCATTTTGTATCCTAAAACTACACTGTATTCATTTGTTACTTCAAGGAAATTTTATGGATACCATTGGGTCATATCACACACAGATCATCGACAAATAGAGATAATTTTGCCTCTTTTCCTATTTTAATGCTTTTTACTTTATTTTCTTCTCTGATTCTTGGCAAGTATTTCCAGTACTATTTGAAAATGAGTGGAGAAAGTGGGCATCCTTGCCTTGTACCAGTTTTCAGGACTTTGTTAGCTATGTTTTTTTTATACATAGCTTTTACTGTGCTGAGGACTGACACTTCTAGGCCAGTATTGCTGAGAGTCTTGATCTTGAAGCATTGTTATATCTTATCGAATGCTTTTTCTACATCAAATGATATGATCATATGTCTGTTATCTTTCTTTCTGTTAATATGGTGTACTACATTTATGTATATATGTTCACATATATTGAACCATCCTTGCATATCTGGAATAAAGCCTACCTTGTCATGATGTATAATCCTTTTATATGTTGTTGGATACAATTAACTAGTATCTTGTTGACAATTTTTGCACCTATATCAATCAGAGATATGGTCTATAGTTTACCTCCCTTTATACAAAGAGTATTGCTAGGTTATATGACAGTTGTATGCTAGTTCTAGACAGTCATATGCTTGTAAGTTTGTTTTTTATTGTTTTTTGGAGAGATTTTTTTGCTATAGGGTACGTGTGCTCGTCAGACAGACAGAGAGAGACATACAGACAGAAAGTGAGAAATCACCCCCCAGGAGGGATGGTCACGCTGCAGTCCCTTCTCCTCCATTCTCCTCTTGGGATATTGGGCACACACACACGCACACACGCCTGGCATGCTTTAAGCCACTGGGTCCAGGACGTGAACCGCGGTCGACTACGTGGGAGTCCAATGACATAGCCATTACATTTCGCTATACGGTGCTCGCCAGACAGACAGAGACAAAGACAGAGACAGAGACAGAAAACGAGAAATCACCCCCCCCAGGGGTGATGGTCATGCCGCAATCACTTCTCAATTCTCCTCTTGGGATCTTGGGCACGCACACACACACACCTGGCATGAGTTTTAAGCCACTGGGTCCAGGACGTGAACCGCGGTCGACTACGTGGGAGTCCAGCAACATAGCCATTACACTAACTGCTGGTTCCCGATGCTTGTAAGTTTTAAGGATACAGTCAATGGAGTCTCCATAGAATGAATTTGGGAGAATTCCTTCTTTGGGTCTTTAGAAATAACTTGAGTAGAATGGGGGTTAACTCTTCTTTAAAAGTTTTGTAGAATTCAACCCCCAAAGCATAGTCAATAATCCCCAAAATAGACAAGTGGGATTACATCAGACTAAGAAGTTTCTGCATGGCGAAAGACACAGTTATTAGTGTGAATAGACAGCCCTCAGAATGGGAAAATATTTTTTTAAATTATGCATCAGATAAGGGACAGATATCCAGAATACACAAGGAATTCAAACAGCTGTTTGGAAAAAAGATAATCAACCCTATTAAAAGATGGAAGGAGTTGAAAGAAAAAAACTCAGTGAAGATGACGTGAATAGTCAAAAGGTACATGAACAAATGCTCAACAACCCTCATTGTAAGGGAAACACAGATCAAAACAACAATGAGATACCACCTAACCCCAGTCAGAATGTATAAGACTTTATTTATTTATTTATTTATTTTTACACAAATGAATTTTCCATCCAAAATACACTGTGCATTGGCTCAATCAAGCACATCAACATACATGTTCTCAGCAAATAATTTTCCAATTCTTATGTCCTGCATACCTTGCCTTTTGTTTTGCCATTTTTGATTCCCCATCCCCCACCCTCTGCCATGTCCTGTCCCATCCTCCTCCCACATTGTCCCTGGCATCCA